AGTGAGCTACAAAATGGAATAAAGAATTAAATATGAAATATATACAGTACTGGTCACGCTCACTGTGTGAGAAAAAGTTGTGGCAGCTGCACGATGCCAGCCTTCAACTATGTGAAATGTCCTTGTTTTCTCCTGCCACTGCTGTACAGAAAACCACATCGGGTCACATCCCTCCATTGTCCTTTCTTGCCAGATTTGTCAGTTTGTAGCAACTTGGTTTTCAAAAAATTAATCTACATGATCAGCAAATGAGAAACTAAGCAAAACAAATGTTGTCGGACTCTTGCACAGAGATTTGAGTCTCTGATGCCTGTTCATGTCTTCAGTATTCTGACAACTCATTCTACTAAAGCAATGTTGTTTAAGGGTGTATTTGTCTATGTTACAGATTTAATCTCGTTTAAACAATCATCCTCTGTTTCTAAAGAATATTGGGTACTGCAGTTTTGTACTGAAAGGTCAACTTGGCATTTCCAGTAAAGAATTCCATGCTTTTCCTCAAACCACTGTTATATTTGTTATATTATTCAAATCAAAATGCAAAAGGAAAGCAAAGCAAGTTAAATAGGCATACCGGATCTGGCTGCAAAAATCCAGGTGAGATGGCAATTTTAGCATCTCCATGTAGCCATCAGCTGGTCATCTGCATTTTTGCAGCCCAGCTCTGGTAAGCCTATTTAATTTACTTTGCTTTGCTTTGCTTTTTTCCCTAAATTAAAGCTACCCCTGACTTATGTGGGAATAGAAACCAACAATGGTTGCCATGGTATTCAAGGTACAACTAAGAGGCTACCTACCTATTGTGAATACAGTATTACAAAATACGATAGGCAGGACTTGTAAGAAAGAATTTTTTTAAAATTACACACACTGGAAAAGTCTTAATATCCTGGCCAGGAGGAGGAGGAGGAGGAGGAGGAGGAGGAATCAGGACTGAAGAAACACAAAAAAACATTGGGCTACTATGATTTGAAACTTTATGACCAGCATTGATAACCAAACAGATGGCATTTCCAAAAGATCATCGAAACGAAAGGGACCTTAAAAAGTTGGAAGCCATGCGGACGTGACATACTGTACACAGATACGCTCATTGCGTTCAGGACCCTTCCGCTCTCCTCAAGGAATTCATTTCCCGTCAAGCCACATGGCATAGCTCCTCCTACTGGCCAAATGCTGGAGCTGCAGCCCTCTCGAGGGAAGGATGGAAGTGGGACCACCGATATGCCCAGGACAAGAGAACAAAAGGGAATATGAGGTAGAGGTTTCCCAGACTAACCTCATGCTAATTGTGTTTTTATGTCTACATGTGGAGAGAAAGAAAACCCAGTTGTTTCAAAATCCCTCATGGGAATTTGCAGCGAGAAAGAAAAAAAGTAACGTGAGCCTTTGTTCTGGGATTGCAAAATCTTCCTCTCCTTTGAACGTTACTTTGCAAAGGAATTCTTCATGGGGAGAAAAAGATGTCAAGTCTGGATCTGCATTGTACCGCTTTCTGATACAGTGTCAGATTACAGCCTCAAATAATCTAAAGAAATGTGAGCCAGGTTATCATCACTCCCCAGGTATTAAAGTCACAGCAAAGGCACGCTGCTTTCAATGTCATTTCTTAGGCAGTAGAAACATAACCCACTGCACTGAAATTAAATTGGGCGTTTTGTGGCCCACCTGACTGCTTTCAATTAACAATTAAATTCAGATATATTAATGCATCAGGACAGTAGGAAAGAAGAGAGAGGGTTATCCTGCTTATGGAGACGGTTGCTTTCTTGTAAGTTTTAACTGCCACTCCCTCTGCGGAAGCTTTGCAGGGCTTTCTGCACAAGGAGGCCTCTTTTTGCCCTAGCAAAAGCAATGGATCCCAGGGCAGTGCTCCAGACTGTTGTCCTGGGCGTGTATGTCATCCGTCTTCCATCCTTCCCAGGAGTACTGCAGCTCCAGTAGTTGGCCAGTAGGAGGAGCTATGCCATGTGGCTTAACAGGAAATGAATTCTTTGAGAAGAGCGGAGGGGTCCTAAATGAATTGAGTGTCTGTATCTATGACATCCTCATTGCTTCCATCCCTCTAATGTCCCTTCCATCTCTACAGTATGATCCTTTGGACATGCCATCTGTTTGGCTTTCAATCCAGACAATCTTGATCTGTTGGAAACATACCATTCCACTAATTGGAAAATAAGCATTATTTGTCAGCAATACAAAATTCCCTTCTCTCTTGCCACTCACCTGTCCCATGAAACAGGCTCTGCACCACAAACGTTTCTGCCACATTTGCAGCGGTAATTCCACATATACCAACTTTAGTGAAACATATTCCCACTTTGAGGATCGGTCTGTTAAAATTAGAGTCCCCGTAGCAAGGCGCCTGGCACAAACCCATCGCATCTCTGTTGGAACTTTTCATCCCCTTCCCCCTTAATTCCAAGGAGTCTGAATGGAGCTGTTCCCCCCCAGGGAAGAAGTTCTGTTCTGGGCTGGTAGCCAAGCCACTGCCATCTCTTTTGGGATGGGGAAATGCCTCCCTTTTCCCTGTGTCTCTGGAGTGAGAACAGGAGGACTAGATTTTTAAGCAAGTGACTCCAGTTTCCCACTTTCGTCAGAGTGATTTTAGAATGCCGAGGGCTATTATAAATCCCTCTCTGGGCTAACAGTGAATACAGGATGTTTATTTTAACCAATAGAACAACATGAGTTATTTCAGGCATAAGATACCTGAAGTTAAAGGCAGCCTAGATCAACATACAAGAGGTACCAGTCATTAATCAACAAACAGATGAAGAAAGAAAGAAATGGAAAATGTGAGCAAAAGTAAAACTACATAATTAAGCAAAGCAGAATTGATGCATCTGTCTGGCTTTTCCTGCCAACTTTACCCTGTTGGTTCCATTTCTGCCAGGATGTTTAAGCAGAGGACCTATGTCCCAGGCCAAATCAGGAAATCTGCTTAGATTTCTAGCTATTCTGAGTACCTTCAAGCAATATTAACTGGGGGAAAAGAAAGATCTAGTTATCTCTCCCAGCCCAAATCCATCCTGCCACCTCTCACAGGAAGAGGATAGCAGCTAGATACTTAGCATCACCAGCTAGGCTCCAAAGGTCGCTGATCTTGGAAAAATCAGCAGAGTTGGACTCCAGGCTAGTCAAGGAAATTAAAAAAAAAAAAATCCCAGAAGGCAATGCAAACTATCTTCACGTTGCCATTTATTTATTTATTGAACTTCTATGTCACCTTTCTGTTGATTCCAAGTGTCTTACAGTAAAAACAATAAAATAACAACAATACACAGTAAAAATCAAACAAAATACAGTTAAAATGAGCACCCACATTAAATTGTCAGTGATATAATTAACAATTAAAAGCTTGGCAACAGAGATGAATTTTTACCTAAATCCTGGGAGAGTAGAGGAGAAGCACACCCCCTCGGGGAACATGTTCCATTACCTGGGAGCCACGCAGGAAAAGGCTCTTCCCCATATAGGTGATATTTGAGCTTCTGGCAGTGGGAACATCAATAGCAAATAATATATGTAGCTCAGAGTTGAACTGTGGAGTCCTTGGGGTTCTCTGAGCTTGGTTGTTTTCTTGCAGACGTTTCAACATCTGCAAGAAAACAACCAAG